CCTCTGCCTCCCAGGTGCTGAGGTAGAAGACATGTGGTACCATGCCTAACAATATCTCAACTTTGATGGTTGCTTTTTCAGGGTCTGTGGCCTCACTAAGTCCAGGAAGTGTCAAATTCACTGCTCAACGCTATAAACTAGTTCATTCATTCAATTTCTTGAGCACCTTGCTCAAAATGAATGTCATTACTCCAAGAACACTTTACCTTGCATAGATTTTCATTGACTTCAAAGTAACTAATAAATGGCAGCTTATAGAAATATTATGATGTCATTAGTAATTAATGCTATGCATTTCCATTCTGTAGATACACACTTAGAGAAAATGGGTTAGATGACATAGTCCAGGTAACAAACTGGTAAAACAAAGAAGCAGAGACTCAAAATCAAGCTATCTCTGTTCTATCACTTTTGAATCTGCCTATGAAATTCATTCTTAATAATTGTGAATAGTCTGCTTTATGTTACTTTGGGCTTAAAGTTTTCTATATAAATACTTGAAGATCTAGTTCTCTCCCCTCTGCTCTCTAGGTAATCTCACTAGGTAATCTTGGATGGCATGCAACTCACAATATACAGCAATATACTTAGATAGTTTAAATGGAATTTTCTCATCTGGGCTGATAATGCTCTCACCAGGAGCCAAGGATCATCTAACAAAAATACCAACACCAGGTATGAGAAGCTTTCTTTGGAGCTATTGATCAGAGTTATCCAAGAGATTCTGGGCTTCCAGACAGGTAGAGTAGAAGAGGTGAAGACCTCTCATGGTGTCTATGAAGAACAGAAATGCTGTACTTCAGAGGAGGCAACCTCTTCCTTGGCACTTAGATTTGAATACATCTGCTCCTTAAGCCTAATACACTGACTCTATTTACTGATATGGTGTGGAAATTCCTCAACAGTCCTCTCAAAAAGACAGAAGTGGGGTGCATGCATGTGTTCCTAATAAAAATGGAGAGCAAAAATTAACCTTTTTAATCTTAGGTCAATTTGTGCCTATTTTTAGAAATAAGTGTCTTGTTATTTGTTTATTTTCAAAGATAAATCTTTTTAGAGATTGTTTTGACTTCGGTTCTCTTTTGTCAAATCTATGGAAACTTCTCCTCCTTCTTTTAATACTGGCTTTGACTGGGTCCCTCCCTAGGTGAGTTCCTAAGGTAAACCTCGTTTCTCTCCCATTACTGCTGTAGCTTGGAAGTAAAATTAAAGATTATACATTTTATTAAGAAAATCTTTTGACACAAATCCTCATGTAAGTTTTAGGGACAACTCTCACAGGTGGTTACAACAGCCATAATAATGAACATATTGCACTTCACTCTGTTATCTTCCCCTAGCTGGACGAAGTCAATTCACTGTCAAAAAAAGGATGGATGGACCCTAGCTGCCAGCGACAGCTGCAGTAAAAGCAGGCCCACACTTGGCATTCATGTGGTTTCCTCTCAGAATTCAGACTACTCATGCCTTACCTCCCTGAGTTTCCTGCCTCATAGGGTCCAGGTATTCCTCAAAACTCCGTATCTTTCCAGCATCCTCATTTGGTGACAGTTTCAGTGGGAAGATCCTCTCCAAGTCCTTCTGGATGGCTGTGACAATGACACTTGATGATTTAATTATGCAGCCAGCAGGCTGCCTAGGTGACAGCTGGCTAGGATCAGTATACAATCTGTGACTATGGAACAGAGCCAAGTTAACTGGGGTTGAACCATGACCTTGGCTTCCTGGGGGGAATGAACTCAGTTGATTGCACTAACTGGCCACATTCATGACAAGGCTATTACGTGCCCTGATATTAGCGGGGTTTGCATTTATAGAGCACTGATTGTGCCAGGCTCTTGTCGGGCATTTTTATAGGGAGTATCTTCTGTGATCCAGCTTGTAGTTTAGTCTCAGCTCCCTGCAAAGAATTCATGTCCACTCTTAAATGAAGGGAGACTGCTGATAAGTCAATAAATATAGAAAAACTGTGTTACTCTTTATTCTGACTATCCTGAATCTCCTGATTTTTGCCTCAAGAATCTTATTTACAAGTTACTGAGCTTGGAAGTAGTGGCACTATTCTTGTTAATATTTCTCTTCATCAGTTGTGTTTAAACCCAGGATGATTCTAGGTATGAGACCCATCATTGAAATATACTCCTAGTGTCTTTTATAATGTCCTGAGAATATCGTGTGTGTGTGTGTGTGTGTGTGTGTGTGTGTGTGTGTGTGGATACCTGCACACATGAATGCTTGTGTATGTAGAGGACAAAAAACAGTCTCAAGCTTTTTTCCTTGGGAACTATCCTCTTTATTTTTCTGAACAGGTTCTCTCACTTGCCTAACGAGCACAGGTCAGCTTGGCTCTCTGGCCAGAAAGCACCAGGGTTATTCCCCAGGGCTGGCATTAGAGAACAGTACCGCCACACCTGTAGGTTGGTTCTAGAGACCAAACCGTGTGCTTTCAAGGTTAGCATCTTGTAGAATGAGTTCTCTCTCTGAGAACCCCATCTCGGTAGTAAATAATGTCTTGTCCAGGAAGGAAAAAGTTCTAGACTTTGCATTCCAAAAGCAACTTGAGGAGGAAGGGAATTATTTCACCATATAACTTTAGATCACAGCTCATCATCAAGAAAAGCCAAGGTTCCTCTGTCTCTGTGTCTTTTGTCCTGTGAAGATCCTACTCTTGGATTTAATTATACCCACAACCATATCATCCCAAATAATGTCACATTCTTCTAGGCAGGGACCTCGATCATACACATATTCTGTGCATAAACATGCATTAATTTGTCTTGTCATGTAATATTGTACTTTGGAGACAACCACTTTCATTTACTTCTCATTCCATCCTTGACTGACTATGTAACAAGCCTTAGTTTCCCCACAAGGGGATCATTCTTAATAATATTTTAGGTTGGTGGCACTAATCATGAGATTGTTTTAAAGATATAACATGATTAGATTAACATGCTCTTTGACTCACTGAAAGTTCTCCACAAAAAGTAATTACAATATATTTTTTAAAATTCTGAAAGAATCAATCAACATATGAATAGCTGTCATTCACTATAGGGGCAATTATAAGTTCCTTTAAAACACTCTTTTAAAGTTATTTCCACAGTTTATAAATATCTGTAACTATACATATCTCTCTCAATATATATACATACACACACACACACATATATATATGTATATATATATCTTTTTTAAATTTGAAAAAGAAACAATAAAACCTTTCTTGTCTGGGAAGAGAAATCCTGTGTAGATTCTTCATGTCCTTTTAGCTATTCATACATATAACACCCACACATTAGAGATTAAAGTAGTTATGAAATTAATTTTAAAAATCCTACTAACTTTGGAAGTTCCTTTTCAACTCTCTTAACTTCAATTTTTCCGTGTGAAAATAAAATGTGCTGGTATCACTGCTATGCTTAGTACCAGAGTCACGATATGCAGAGGAATATGTCAGATCGCAGTGCTTGTTGAGGGTCACAGTGTAGAAGTTGATGCATGGGAATATCTCAAAAGATGGGTTCTAACTGTGGGAAGATTGTGTTTGTGAGGGAGTCTATGAAAAACAAGGAACCTCTGTCAGAAGCAAGGCTTGGAGGAGAGAGGAAGGAGGGGAGAGCAATGTGCAAGCCAAGAGGTCAGGCCAGACACAAACTTGTTCAGTCTATTACTGTCATCTCTGAATGCATATTTTTTAGGATTAGCCATCCCCCTGAGAAAGGAAACACCTTGTCTGAAAAGAGTTGTTTAACCATTTTTATGTGAAAAGTAGTATGTCGTAAATGAAGAAAAAACTGAAAATATCAATAAGCAAAACTGAAAATTCAGAGCAAAAATTTCACCATTCAGAGTTAACTATCACTATATATGGATATACAGCCACAAAGGTCATTGCATGTGAGTGTGTTTAAACCTATACAAGCATGCATGTCTATGCCAGAGCACATAGCACAAGTGTGCAAAATTGAATAATGTGTCTAACCTTGGGAACAAAATTGAAAATGAGATGACCTCTCTGGGCAAGACGCAGCCCCTGGAGCTGCTTGCTTTGGCAAGTAGAGAGTCCTTTTATGCAAACAAGGAAAAGGGCACCAGTTCCTCTGACCTGGAACATCCTTGTGCCAGGACTCTGATACCCCTGTCAGAGGGCATCTGGGAGAGCTGCATGGCCCTATAATGAAGATGCATTGTTCTTGAATATCATTGCTTTATTATTTAATATTTGATACATCTGAAGCAATGTGTACACTATGCAGACAAAAAATTAATAAACTTATTTAACCAATCCCAGAGCAGATAGACATATTGCCGACATAATGGATCTCCATTACCTCATAACTAGTCTTCCTTTCAGAAGGGGAACTTCTGTTTTAAAGTCTGTTTATTATCATTCTGACAAAGATATTAGGTCTTTTGTGACTTACTTTAAAACCCACATTACTTTGTTGCCTAGTTTTTAACTAAACAAACAACTTTTATACCATAAAATTTTAATCTATATTGTTGCACAAACTGCAAGGTATTCCATTCTTTATTTGAACCATAATTTAATAAAGTCTGTTATTATGTTAAATACTAATTACATTAAATTGACATAATCTAACAAATTAAAGGGGCAGACTCTTATTTCCAATGTTTCAATAAAATCTTCATCATTGTCTTTAGGTTCCTTCTAAATGAAATCATAGACAACATCTTTATTATTTTTTAAGAGAAACCTCCAGGCATTGAATTAATGTATCATAGGCTGTGGTGCCTATGAACAGGTTGATATATTGTTAAGATGATCCACCTAATGGACAAGTGGTTACTTATTCAGGGTCTAGAGAAAATGAAATATTCTGCTGGCCTGCTGTTGTAACTCCTCATGGAGTGCACACTCTGTTCTAACTCAAGGAGCTCAAGATGTTCATAAGTCTAAACAAAGACTGCCCCACACAAAGACTCTAAGAAGAAAGGGGTTAGAATACACAAATTAGATGCCATCTACCCACTCTTTCTGAGTGCAGAGGTCAAAGCCACAAATTTCAGCCTCATGATGAAAAAGAGAAGACTCACGACTCCTGAGGAGCAAAGTGACAGAAGAGAAGAGGACCGTGGCTTCTTGGTGGAGGAGCTTGTGAGCTATTGCTCAGTCTGGCTTTGACAGGTATTTAACCAACAAAAATGTTGTTTATATGTTAGTATATTTACTGCTTTAATAGACAATTTAAAAATATTTTAAGAAGCCTTTCTATTTTCAACTGATTGAATTATTTGAATACTGTGCCTAAACTCTTTATGATAGAAATGAGCATGCTTTCCTTTCCATCATGTCTGGAACAAAAGAATTAAATTTGTGTGTTAAGTAGATTGTCAATAATGCATTTCAACATGTCATAGTGTCTGGACTTAAACAAAGTTATGTTTTTATTTAAGGAAATACTTTCTCTTGTCTAAGAACATGCCAATGGATTCTTTCTGTTTCAGTTTGCAGTATTGGCCTGTTTTGTCATGTGAAAAACTGTCTCCCTAGAGCCACCACAGTTATCATTATGTCTCGGGCTATAAGTAAAACTCCACCCTTTTAACAAACCACCCAGGAAGCTTCTGATGTTTATCGGGGGACTGGGCTCCAGTTGAGTGAGGCCACCGTATTAGTGGAAACTGTAACCAGAATTACAGTGGCACACTACCTACCATTTGTCTGTAACCAGCAGCCAGGGTCAAATTTGGGGGCACCATGGTGGGAACATCAGCAGACCCTCACATAGAAGTTTAGAGTGGCCCTGTTCTATTTCTTAACAGAAGGGAAGCCATGTTATATAAGGCTTCATCCTTAGATTCTTTCTTTAGATATCTTTGAAAGTTATTTTCCATTGATTTTTTTAAATTTTCTTATTTTTTAAAGTGGAGTTTTAGCACTGTCATATCAATATAACAGATTTTTATTTTAGAAATGGTGGCAATCATCTTTACAAAAACTTAAAAGGTGACTCCTTACATCACCACTCGTTCATTTATAATCAGGTCCTACATTAGCAAGAAATAAACACATTTATTCATGATCTCTGGGTTGGAACTGTATAAAAAGTTTTGTAGGACCCACTACAAAAGCAAGTTTATGAACAGTCTAAGTTTTGTCATGGTGGTTTGTCTTCTGCATATTTTTCTGACTTTGAATTTACAAAGAATGCTTGAACACCTCCCATGTGTTAAGGCGTTATGCCAGCTGTCAAAAAGACAAAGGTAGATAAGACATAATCCCTTATTGTGAGAAATGAGAAGAGAGAGACTGAGATAGAAAGAGAAAGATAGAGACAGAGAGCCCCACATATTGAGGGTTCTGAGCTCTGACTAACTATTATAATCACCCAGAGAACTTTAAAACAGTACTGTAATTGGATTCTATCCCTACTATAAAATGTTTTTATTTAATTGTTTTAGCAGTAGTCCAGTCAGTCTTACCAGCACTCCAAGGGAATCTAAAAAGTGCTCAGAAGTCACAATCATGGAGTTAAGTCTCCCGTGGCATGCACAGAGTTCATTCCTGGAAGTTTTCACAGGAGTATTACCTGAGCTAGATTAGGAAGGGCTGAGCATTCCAGGGAAAAGCTGAAGTAGGAATGGTGGGGGACACAGAGGAGCGCTGAGAATGTGCCAATGTACAAGCATACAGTCTTGAAGATGACTTTACAGAGTAGACTGAACACTGAGTGCATGAGGGAGATGAGGCTCAACAGGCAAAATGGACAGTTGTGGAGTATAGGGGTCGGGACCTCCCCATGGAGGACGGGATGCGCTCTTATTCAGGTGACAAACTCTCATCAGCAGTTTCAAACAAACCCCAGTGGTTCTCTCTCTCTCTCTCTCTCTCTCTCTCTCTCTCTCTCTCTCTCTCT